TAATTAAGAATTACAGAAATCTTTTGTCCCTGCAAGGTCCTTATGCTCTCATGAAATTTTGAACTGTAGTACTTTGTTACCTCACAAATCATTAATACAGGCCAGCAATATATTTTGGGTTGGCGCAATGCCCAGCATAGCACCAAGATCAAGCCTCTGCTTTCTAGTAAATTAGAATCTGGCTCTTTATATCAGAAGTACACACATCTACAGAGACATTAGACATGAAATAATCTTTCATTTGCTGTGTGTTTTTCTATGTTGCTAGCTTTAACTTAAGTCAGGTCAAGGTAGTTACTTGTGGAATCGGGAACAACTGCATTAAGTAGACGTGAAAGGTGCAGTCAACAGCAAAAAATAGTTTGCTCAGATACATCTGAACCAAGTTCTGAAAGTTGCCTTAACTCATAATGTGAATCACTATTTATCGGCTCACAAGACCATGCATTTAATGTATGTGACTGCAGAAGATAAGGCAGGACCAAATCCACTTGTAATGAGACCAGCTCATTTAGCGGCATGGTCTATTAATGAAATAAAACTGGAATGAAACATGGAAAAACCACACCTTTTTTCATTGCTGGAATTGTACGGATCCATTGCTTGCTTTATTCCAGTGATTACCATAAATTTCTTGATCACTATTTGTGTAATTACTGTCATTTGCTTGTATTTAAAAAGAATTAGCCCACATTGTTTCCAGAAAGCTATTAGCATTACTTAAAGAAAGTAGTTGCAGACTTAATTGTTGACGAATTTTCTGTTGTGATCAGTAGATATGATGGTATTTCATAGCAGCCTGTTCACTTAGTTACGCAACACAGAATAATGATTTTCCTAAATTCTTCTCTTCCTTTGAACTTCACTATTTCTTAGTGGCTCCTTTTTGGATGTAGTATTCTCAATGGTATTATCACTTCATGGTACATCTCTTGGAGCTATGGAAATGGGACATAAAGAGAAAACAAGTGTAACATGACTCCTGCTACAGTCAATTTGAAACTACTGATAATCTACAAAAGACACTCCCACTGGAAGACGGAATAAACAAGAGCTTCACAGATTTCCTGTAATATTTCTCTTACATTGTCTTCTGCAAGCCTGTTCTTTCTTTGTAGGTAATCACAATAGGCTCACAGAATTCATAGAACGATTCTGGATTCTCAATAGGAAACGCTGATGCTTAAATCTGCCAGTTCCTTCCATTTAACTTTCATTTAGTAGAACTATGCTCTTGATGGCTATTATTACCACAAAATAAATGTTTATTTAGGAGTGAAAATTTCCCTCCCAGTGGCTGGTTTCATAAACTCTGTGTTTCAGCTCATCCACACTATACCTTAACAATGCTTTGTTTTCAGAAGTGACAAAACAAGCTTCCATTTTGGTGCAGTGTTACTAAACCTTGAGATTAAATATAGCAAGCCCACAAGTGGTTAAGTGGATATAAATCAAGTCAATGGAACTGCACCTGCTTATACCACCTTTGAATTTGGCAGAGTATAATTATTCCAAATATTACTGTAAAATCACACTTTACATGTATGTCCAAAAACAGATGTATACGGACGTAGGCTCTTTGGGTGGCTGATAGAATGAGCCCTCTTTAAGTGCTACAAGCATTTCATGTACAAATATTTTCTATGGTTAACCTCCTCAGACGGAATAATATTGCTGCAGCCAATATAAACATGTGAACTCACCAGTAAGTGTCAAAATGGGGACTGTGATGTGAAAATAAATAAATAAATAAATCCCAACTAAAAAAAAATGTCTCAAACACCAAAATGCTGACATGTTTACCTTAGATAAGACCAATATACAGTGATGAAAAGAGTCGATAGTTTATTAACTCCAGGAAGACTGAAATTTTTATTGCTTTCTAGAAATATTTTGTACCACTTTATAACTATTGTGAAGCAAACAACAGACAGGAAATCTGCAACTATGAATGGGGTAGCAAAGTATGGAGTTTAGTTTATTTCTTTCAGAACTTTCAGAGTTTTCATTCCCTACAACTCTGAAGCCTGTTCTTTTTTTTTCAGGCTCCTCCCAGGTTTTTGGGACCAGAATTTCCTAGGGGACATGCCAGCAGTTGTCTCTGGATGCTAAGAGACGTCAGACACTGCTGCACATTTTTGGCATCATCCCTCTATTTTTCCTTTGTTACAGCTACATCAAATAGCATGTAATCAAAACATTCTTCAATTGTATGGCGGAGCAGCTAAGTGCCTGCTTGTTCCAGGTTTCTCTGTCAGCTGGACACTTCTAAATCAATCACTCTTTCTCAATATGTGTTGCATGATAAGAAGGAAAGCAACAGACACGTCAAAATGTTAGTTTGAATACAATATAGATGACCAGGTCCAGAACTCGTGCAGACAATTAGAGCTTCATTGCTACAGTTTGATCTTAGTTGATGAGTATTTATCAGAAATTATCCAGATTACCCAGGGAGATCCCACTTCTACATTTTACTATATTCACACATGAAAATCTCAAATTCTGGTAAAAAAATATCTTTAAATACACGAACATGAGAAAAATAATGCTTGGAGAAGTATAGAATGCTGCTATCATCATCTCATGTGGATTTATGTCTGTTTCAATGAATTGGGAATCATGTGGTACATCAGCTAATTAAAATGCAAGCAAATAAATTGATTATAAAAAAAAGGATACAATAAAAAGGAAGTTGGTTATATGTATTATAATGCTGAAATAAATTTTAAAACTCTTAGATAAGGAAATGTTAAATATAGTCCTAAGAAAGAAGTAAAGGAGATTGTGTGAACATTTAGAAGACTTTTGGAAACATTTAGAAAATGACTGATGTAAAGATGACATCTTTATGCAAAGCTGGAATATGTGACTCTATCTAGAGGCCATGGTTAGAGATAGGGTTTTGGTTATACCAAATGCATAAGTTAATGATTACTAAAAGTACACATACATAGGTCACTTCAAAACTAATGTCTTTTTATTTCCCTGAAAACTACAATGGTTAGAAAGAACACAATAAGACTAATAAAGCAAACTCCCAACTACGAACCACTATTTTTCAACGCAGTCACTACCATTAGCTATTCATTTTCACCAGTGATGAACAAGATTATGCATGCTGTGCTCATAAATTTCTGCATCACTGCTGAAATGCAGCACCCACCACCTCACTGTGCTCACATCTATTGTTCAACTTCACAAACATTCAGCAAGCACTAGTGAATATCAATGGGTCCATTTTTCCTGCATGGAGGGATTCAATGATATACCTTTGCTTCATCTGTCCTTCCACATTAGACGCCATTTTGTCAGACTGCCTCTTCGCTATCATCTGTCACAAAACATAAGAGGATAGTGGTGGTAGTAGTGGTTCAACCTCTACTGCCAAAATTTGCCTCTGATCTCATAAGTCACCATAGTAAAATACGAAGCATTACTTTCAGAGCAGCCCTCAGGGAAAAACAAAAAGAAGAACAGAAGTAGGCAATTGAGGGATTTCTTTCCATGATCAGAGAGTGGTAAATGACAATCCATAATTGTGAAATTTATTTATTCTTTGTTCTGTACTAGTATTCAAGATATTAAAAAGCAGCAATACAACAACGTAAATTTAAAGAGTAATTAGTCTATTTTGATGGATAGACTCAAATAAATTTTGCATCAAAAAATCATTTTTACTTAATGTCAATACAAAAGAGAGAAAGGGTATAACGATATTTAAAGATGTTTAAAAGTCTGTCTGGCAGTTCAAAGTGGAATTGCTCAAACTAATAAAAACATTAAGCTAAGGCTGCAGAAGAGTTTAGCAAAGTAGAAGATATATCTGCTCTAGAGTTTGCCATGAATATTAGTATTCTGCACTACCGGACAATATGAGACTGTGATAAATGAAGCAAAATTTGGAAAATCTCTGGATCTCTGGAATCTCGGTGTGAATCTCTGAGAATGTAAAGCAGTGCTGGTGCCAGAAGGAGACAGACAAGTGCTGAGAGGAAGAATATGCTACAGTATGTAAGGAAAAGACATATTAATTAAAGTCTTAGTCTTATGTTTTTCACTTAAAGCAAATGAAAAGCTCTCAGAAAGATAATCAGATAAAAAGAATGGCACGAGAAAATTTTCTGTTAATCATTCAGATGATTAAGAGAAATGGAAAATAAAAGTAAAGTTCACAGGAATAAGCGTGATCAGCAATTAGTCTTTGCAGTGCAGAAGCTTTATCTTGTCTGGCAGAGCCTGCACTATCCCAGGAAATTCTCTTAGCTTTACCTGACTTCATTTTAATACACTATATCTGCTCTAAAAGAACTACTGATGTCACAAAAAATGACTTAATAGGCTCAAGCATTCCATCCCCACCAGCAATATCCATAGGTGGTCACATTTGTTCTCTTCCCAGCTCTCTATCATCAGCTTTAGGAAGAGCTGAGGCTTTACCAGTTGGCAGAATCAGTTATCCCCAAACCCTTTGGGCAGTAGGAGAAACTGAGCACCCCCCCTTGGCAGATGTGAAGTTTTTTCCACTTGTGTCCAAACATCCAGAAAACTTGTTAGCAACACTGCCAAACAAAATATACTTAGAAGCATTAACCTGAAGCTGAAAGTCTCAATAGCTATTATATTTAATGTGGATTTTGTTAATGTGTATTAGATACTAAATAAAATATCCGATTACATTCCAAGGAGGATGGACTCAGCCATATTACTATGATACATTAAGTAGACAAGATAATTTGAAGAGGTTATTATACAAGAAAACTCTTGTAAGAATAGCTATTGGCACATCAGTAAAGTCTTAGTTATATTATAGGGTGTATGGGAACTGCTGAATCATGGCCTGAACCTCTGATTGATCACCTGAGGTGAGCAATGAGTCAGCCACGGGACCACAGGTGAAGGCAATTCACCTGTGCTACTGGAAGGGGTGGAGCCTGGCTGCACCTCTCATAGACCCATTTAAGAGCTGACTAGCAGTGAGAAAGGATGTCTTTTAGAGATCTCTCCTTTGGAGTTTTGCAGTGAGCCTAGGATGTGGGTAAGTTTTCTATCTGTTCTCTTTTTCTTATTGTAATCTGCTCTACCAAACTCTCTTGTTTATTTCATAATTATAGCATCTTTATATTCATTGGCTATACACAGGGTATCAGAATTGGTATCAACTGGATATTGAAATTGAGTCTATTAGGTATTAATATAAGCATTTCTGCATAATTTGATGTATGTTATGACAGAAATAAAAGTACTTCTTATTTTACCTTTGATGTACAATCAGCAAAGTCATGCTTCTAACCAATAAGGCCAAAACTGGGTGTAGTCATTTCCTCTAGAAGGTTGCTGCACACCGATCATACTTTGAAATATACTTTTAGATGAAACAGATCTGAGAGAAAAAGTTGGATACAATTAAAGAACCTGGATATCTTTCTTTGCCATTTATTAGCTGTTTCGAAAGGAAATATTTCCTGACTAAGAGCCTGCAAATGAAACCATCCCAATTACTGGATGCCAGTTACATATAAAGGATGAAAGTGCCTAGTAATGAGCATGATGAATAGAAAGGGAACTTATTATTGATCTTTTTAATTTTTGTTCTTAAAAGATGTGAATTTTTGGTCAAATGAACTGTTTCACTTATCTGTATAATTTAATAAACTTATCTAACAGTCTATGTCTTATTTAAAAGGTGTTTTGTTTCGCATCACCTATTCAAACAAAATCCCTGAATGCTATGGAAAGACCATATTTCCCTCAGTAGAAAGCAAAATATGTGTATTTATCTCAATATTGTGAAAGCATGGAGAAACTTTACTCAAGTAACCCACTGCGCTAGGGATGTAAAGTGACACTTACTTGAGATAAAAGAGAATAACCGTAAAGAATAAAAGTAAAGTCTCTAGGAGGAAGAAAATATATATGTGTGTTTCTCTGCTTAAAGTTTTTTGGGAAAAAAAATACTAAAATGTGAAGACTGATAGATAATATCTGACTTTATAGTTATGGTTTCACCAGGACGAAATACAAATGGAAAAGAATGTAGAATTATTTAAAAAAAAAAAAAAAAAAAAAAAAAAAAAACCACACCTCAACGTTACTTTCCAGTAAAGACAGTGTTTTTCTGCACCTATAACAGGACAACTTCTGTTTGGATCAGCCAAATGCTACAGCCTGTATAACCAACAAAGTGACAATCTGTATTATGAGTACTTTGGTTAAAATAAGAAGCGATCTGAGCCTTTAGCCAGCCTTCAAACCAAATTGAACTCAAACCTTTGACATTTCAGCTACACTGTCTTCTGCCTCATCCTAATTTCTCATGGTATAGTGGCAAGCTGAAATGCCCAGAGGTCTGATAGTCAAAAGGGCAGCAATAGGCACCTTGCCACTTCCTGCTGGACTATGGATTTGTCAGAGAAAGGAAGTTAGAGTTGTAGGAAGGGGGCATTTTCTACTTCAAGGCATATATTATTGGTAAGGAGAGGGCAGGCCCTTTCTCCATTATTCACGATAACCTCCAAAGAGAGCACTGATGATAGATGACTGTCAAACTTCCCTGAAAGAATGCTGCTATGCCCTAAAGAAAGAATAATACCATGCTCACTCCAAATTCACAAAAACTTCATTTAGTTTGGATGTGATAAACCTCATAAAGATTCATCTAATAAGCATATCATAGTATTTTCTATATTCAATTAGATCTCACAGGAAGAAAATTGGTGAAATGTTGCACAGTAATTTCTCCCTGGATTAAAAACATTTAGTCATTAAATTTCCTTTTTCAAATAAAACCACAACGTTTCTAGTTGGATCTAACAAAACAGAATTAGATCTGTAGCTTGCACTATTGTAGCTTTTTAAGCTCATGAGAAATATGGACTGGGAAGATACCAGATATTCTGTGATTAAAAGTGTATTAATCATTTAGTGAAGATTATTGAATGATTCAAGATGAATTGTCTGTTTGTATCATTGATGCCAGAATGATTAATTCAAATTTTCTGCTAGATTTAAGAGAAGAGAATTAGAGATATAACTACAGAACCTTCTTGAACCACAGTTAGCACATCAACAGCTGTTGCATCCTCTAGCTAAATAAGTGTGAAAAGGTTTGCGTGGAAAATTAAAGTACTTTAGTGATATCTGGGTTCTTTTCTCCACAACAGTAAAGTTTAAGTAAATCTTTAAGGATATGACATATCCTTAAAGGGATGTAACATATATGTAACATAATATCCTATAATATGTAACATATATATGTAACATAATATCCTTAAAGGGACTGTAACATTTGTGATACACACAGATCATTTTCCTAAATGGAAGAATTTATAAGGTCCATATTTATCTGAAATACATGATTTTAGACAAAAAACATGGTTTTAGATGCTATTACAGAATTGTTAGGATGCTTGAATGTGAAAAAGGATAGCTTTTATCTTTATAAGAGTCTTGTATTTAACCACTAACAGGAAACTGTTCTTAACACCAATGTCGTGTCAGCATACACCCACAGGAACAACTAGAAACTGAAGGCAGATTTGTAAGAAATGTCTCTTCCTACATGTTGATTAAGTTCAGATTCAAAGGCTTTTTCTCATGCTTCCCAAAAAAGAACTTAGAACAAAGTGGCAGCTAAAATATGTGACAAAAAGTCAAAATCTGAATTTTGCTTCTATCATCAATCTTTTTGTGCATGTAAAAGCAAAAAGTTTAACAATTAGTGTCTCTTTCCGATAACCTCTAACATGAAGTTTGTAAAGTACTTGATGCACAAAAATAACTTGCTGATACATGTAAAAGATTTCAAAACTTCAGCAAGAAGCCCTTGTAGATGTACAAAACATTGGTAGCAATATGAAATATTATGGAGAAAGACACCTTTCCCTAGTGAAGTGGCAAAATTTCTGACCATTAAATACACTAACATTTTCTTCTATGAGGATTAGACTCATTAGAAAAATTATAGCCTTGTTATTATAAACACAATGTAAACTTATGAACTTTACCTTTTACATACATTGTGATGTTTTCATTCAGAAAGTTTAATATTCTTACTGAAGTAAGAAGTAAAAATTAAGTTCCTTTTTTATTACTGAATTGTCTCTGCTGCCTTTCTTGGGTGATCTGGAACTAGTTAAAGGTCTCTATATCAACTGCCTCCTATTCTTACACTGTTGAAAATAATGTTTTGTGTTATTGCTTTTCTGTATTTTCTTCTGGATTGCATTTTTCCTTTTGAAATGCAGTTATTAATAATTGTAATTTATTGATCAAATAAGCGTTGATTTATTTCTGAAACTTAGTTTATTTCATATTTGCGCTAGCATTAAACAAAATAACAGGATACTATTGGTGTTACTGAAAGCAAAACGTAAGATTATGTCCCCTTATTATCTGGAGCAGCCATGCGTATTAAGTTTTGACTAGCCCTGTATAGCAAGTCATATATTAAATCTGACACGCAGTCCAGTTCCAAAAGAAAGTAAGTTACTTCAGTCTTACCTCCTAAAGAACAATGGTCTGCGTTATCATAGTATCTGTTTGAGTGTACATCCACCTAACTGCCTATATCTCCACTTTATTCCACTCAAAAAAATTTTGACCCACTTTAGCTTTTTCACAATATCAGGTGACCCCGAAAAAGGGAGGGAGAGCTGCTCAATAAGCTTCACGATTGCCCCAAACAGGGTGAGAGTGGTGTCACACAGTAGTAGATGCTATGTTACCTGGCTGGAAGACAGAAAGATCTGTTCTGTTTTTGCTCTTTCTGGTTAGCTTTCCTAACCACAATACTCAAACCAGTAAGAAATGACTCAACTAACTCAGGTGTTTGAGGCATTCTTTTTCCTCACTTTCTTTCAGCTCTGCTTCTAGGTGCAGATATGCCAACTTCTCTAGCTCTCTGATGTTCATAGTAACTTAGAATTAATATGGGGAAGTAATAAATACATATTTTAAATCTTAATATCTAAGACACTGTGGAGGCACTATTACACTAAGTATTACCCTTACTGACATAAATTTGCATATTGATGAGATCATGGCTTCCAGAGTTGTATTGTTCTGCCACGTTCCAAAAATTGTCATTTGCAGGATCTGTGCTGCAACAATTAGCATGTGGGAAATTTCTTTCCTCTAGCAGTTTCATGGAGCATAGAAGCATTTGTTTATTACATGTTGTAAAATATGATAGTAGCAAATCTTATCTATGGAACTATATCTGCCACCCTCTCGCCCCCCCCCCACACCCAAAAAAAAACAAAAAAAAAAAAAAAAAAGAACACAACCAAAAAAAACCCAAAGTACTTAGTACAGACTTGGGATCAATATTTTGATACAGAAACAATTGAATTACCAACACTATTTCAGCATTTTAATGATTGTTATGTAAGAGACAAATAACAAAACTGTTTTAGAGTGTTTATTTTTGTGTCCTGATTTCAGTGAAAATACTTTCTCATACCTTTCTTTTCTAATAGAAAACTGCTGTGCAATGTGCTGTGTAAAGGGTCAACTTAAATTAAAAAGTAAGATATTTTAGTGTTTCAAGAGAGTAAGTTCTCTCATGGTAAACCCTGAATTTGAACTGAAGAGCAAAACTCCAAATATTGTATACCACTCTGGCATTATTTCTTTTTTACTAATGTTCTTCTGCAGCATTTTATAATGACAGGAAGATATCATAGGGGTCGGCACTGTGGATACCTCAAAATGATTCAAATGACTCCTGGGTGTCTGTATGTGAGAAAAGAGCTTCCCGAAAGTTCTTCTGAAATCCTTCTTAAAGGGATATAACTTTATTATTTCATCGTATTAAACATGGGAAAAGGTTGCATAGAATTTACTGTTATAAATATGTACAGTAAACCTTCTCATTTTCTCACCTAATCATTTGTATATTTTAGGAAATTAATTTAATCAAATGTTCATTAGCAGTAATAATTAATTACAGCAAAGTTCATCAGACATAATATACGTGTTGCAAAATGATCACCATGATGTTCTTTTGACAGGGTTGTTAGAGCAAATGTTCATGCATTTTTATGCAAGCATTTCACAAGCATGTGACACACTAGCTACAAATCTGCATTTACAACTTGGTAAGTAAAGATGCACTAAATATTACTTTAAAATATATCTCAATGTTGTTGATTTTATCATTTTGTATTATAGGTCAAAACTACATGGTATTTAGATACAATCAAATTTTTGCTTATAAATGTATTTTAATGTTAGTTATTTCTGCCTACAAACTGTCCACAACTCATTTTTTAAAATAAATTTAAAAGTAAATTGTCAATCACTTATTTTCATCGTCTGCATATTTTATCAGGAGTGACATGATGTGAAGTTTTTACTTTCAGGAAAAGAATAGCTATGTGGTTAGGACATAAGGCTTGGGGGAAAGAATACTCATTTACTTTGCCACAGATTTCCTGTGGCTTTGGGTAACTCTTCTTCTCTGACTAGGGTTCAGTCTTTTGTTTATAAGCAGTGACAAGACCTTCTTTTCTGAAATAGTTTACTTTATTCATTCCCATTTTGGGGCTGGGGGAGATGCCTTTTCTCCAAGGCTTATTAAAACGAGGCCATGCTCTTAATTGAAGCTTTTCGATACTGCAACACTATATAGTAGTAACACAACTATCATTCTGACAAAACCATTAATTTAATTGCACTTTCTGATTCCTTAAAGTACTATTGGCTTCTGAGCATTCTGTCTTCAAATTTCATCCACTTCTGTTCAGGTAGATTAAAAACAGAACAGTGATTTCAAAATATCTGCTAAAACTGCAAGAGGTTTCTAGTTGAATGGGCCACATGTGCAGACAAAGTCTTGTTTATCTTTGAGTTATTCAAAGTATTTCTCAGTGCTGTATTAGAATTTGTCAATGATGTTGGAATATAATGACAGTACATGATGCAGCTGCCAAAAGTGTGCATTAATAATTAGTGGCAACTGATAACTTGGGAGACAGCAGAATAGTTCTTGTGGATCTTTTTCAATTGCAGATGGGAGATGAACATTCCTGAGACACTACAAAAATGTTCTGGAAAGACATACAGGTCCACAAAAAATTAGCACAAGACAAAAAAGAGCTGGGCGTATCCATGGGTTCATAACCAAAGTGATTGGCTTTAGTTGGGTTCATCTGTGTTATGGGGTTTTTTTGAGTCAAATCTGTGTGGACTTGGAGCTGGGAAACCACACATAGCAAACTTTCCTGCAGTATTTGTTGAAAGCCAGCCAAAAAAAGCCAAGTTTATTTGGCTTAAACCTGTACTGCTCCTTCACAGTACACTGACAGGTTCATTTGTACTGGAATATTCTGGCACTATTAGATCTGGAAACTTAATATGAGATTCCTGTGGCTCTCCCCCCTTCCCACCCCCAGAGGCGAAGATAAATCATGGCTCTTCAGCAAACAGTTGTATCAGAAAATGTGCCTGGTTTTGCAGCAACGTGGAAAAGTCAGACCAGGGTGCTATGTTTTTTGCTTTTGTTGGTATGAGTTAGAGTTGTTAATTGAGTAGGGTTTCTTTTGGGATGCTTTACGGTTCTGCAGTGTTTTTCATCTTGGAGTCAGAATACTGAAGCATCTGCCAAGAATAACAATTAGCTGCTTAGCCTGTCCAGTTCTTATTTGAACTGAAGTGCTAGATCAGTTTTTCAAACAATTGTGATAATGTATCTATTAAAGTCTGGGTCTGGTTCAGTAAAAAGGGTCACAGCCATCTGCTTTAAGTCATCTTGCTAAGTCTTTCCCCTTTTATTACACTTCTCATATCATCCTATTGTCAACACTGAGCAAACCAACAGACTTCAGGTGCGCTTAGGAAATGGAAATCTGCCCACTTCCATTCACCACAGTAACAGCATGCAAGGACAAATCTGTTTAATTTTTGAAATGTTCAATGAAAATTAATGACAAGAATTTTATGAAAGCAGTAATTCCTTTAAAATGATCTCAGATTTTTTTTTTTTTTAAAAAAAAAAGCCCTGCCAGTTCTACAGCTTTCAAGGGGGGGAAGTTGCTCACAAATTGGGCGTTCTTCTCAGGTTATCAGTCAGAAATCTATTCTTTCACTCTGGCAAGAGAATTTAACACTGTTAATTGCTATCATCTTTCATTAGGATTTTTGTCAGCATGTGTTATGCAGCAACTGTATAGACCAACTGTGTTTCTAGTCTGAAATGGTAAAATGAGACAAATGTTAATTCTTTTCAACATCTTTTCAATTCTTTGCTTAGAAATTGGGAAGAGAAAGGAAAACTGAGGCATCAGGAAGGAAACTGAAAAGAGTAGATTCCAAGTATGTAAATTTGTGTGAGATAGACTCTAAGACCTTCTTTTTATCCATTTTACGGACTCTGATAAATGTCCTGTGCAGTAATTGAGATTCAACTATCTCAGGTATAGAGTGAGCCTTTTCAAATATATATACAAAAAATGTACGTAAGACTAAAAGCACTTGTTTTATTTGGTCTTATCCTGCCTGACAAGTAAAAGTTTGTAAATTTTTCAGAGTGGAAACAATGGAAGGTAGCTGTATATCACTCTTCTGGCTGAAGACAACCTTCTTTACTCCCTCTGAGCAGGAAGCCCTGTGTTGCTAAATCCTTTGATGTATTTCAGGAGCATCTGGTTGCCTGTTACTGGCTGAAGATAATGATCAGTTACATTTTTCACCTGTTTCTCTTCCATACCTGTGAAGTTTCTAGTTTGCCCAATTACCAGGTTTTGCCTGGACTCCCATAGGCAGAGGATAAAGAAGCAGTACGACCACTGGGGAATTAACACTTAAGTCACCTGTTTCTTCAGGCTGCATCTTGGCTGGCTGTAGGTTATTAAAAAGAATAATTTCCTCCCACCTTTGTTCTGATTACAGAAATATCATATTTGATCACCAAGCATCCTAGTGAGAAAATCTTGTGGACTCATGTAAGAGGGCAGGGAAAGCAAAATGGGAAGAGATGAAGAAATACTGCAGAAGAGACTAACCAACTTGTAACCTAACTATGCTTCAAATCTGTAATATAGTATGTGTTCCCAAAAATTACCTCCCAAGACATTTTTAATGATTCTTTTATGTACCTCTGGAGGGAAATGCAATTGCTTTTAGAAGATAACAGTGATTTGTGGAAGGAAGCAAAATCAAAATATGGATGAGAAATAATACAAAGTTCAACATCCTATGACACTTCCAGCCTATTAGCGTAAAGTGAACTTCTGGCATGGGCTTCCTTCACTTAAAATTGAACATATCAGGATAAACTTTAATATCCTAAACCATATTTTTACATGTGATGTATTGATATTGGTAGATAAAAACCAATCACTGTGTTGGTGCAACAGAAAAGCTTATGAAGATCAGCCCCTTGCCCCTCCCTCCTCCCCCCCCCAAAAAAAACCAACCACAGGTTGTATGTTACAATTATTGCTGAAAGTATTTCAGATCTACCTTCAGGCTGGAGCTTTTTTTTTTTTGAGCATAATTCAACACTATTTGTGCTATGACAGAACTTGTAAACAGCTCTCTGTTTCTAACAACTGAGTTAAACTCTTAATGAGTATTGCAGTAATGAATCCATGGAGGAGGACGTAGCTTATTTATATTGTTACCAAATTAAGAGCATCATCAAAAAAGCAGTTAAGTAAGGTATGTTAAAACTTCAATTATTATAATAAATCACTTCAATTTGATGGCAAATATAGAGAGCATAAAGAAACCATCATAAGCTCTAGAGACAAGTCTCACAAAGGCAGGTGCAGATAATGAAAGGTATGCCAAGTTTATTTTTCAAGGAGAACAAGAGAGGAATTTCTGTAAGAATAAGTTTTATGGAAGGATTAGTAGGTGATAAAAAGTGGGTGTGAGGAGAACATGAATTGCTTCATTTTAGCTTGAAAAAAGTGTTATGAATATAATAAAAATGCAGTAACAAAGGAGAATGAGGGAAGAATACAAAGAAGAAAGTTTTATTGTGTTTGAGGTCCCACAAAACTTTGTTATAAAACAGAAGTGACCTTGAATTTCATGTTGTGGAGAGGAAAAAAATTAAAAGGAAATTGATAAAAGATTCAGGGAATTATTTGATATAATTGAAGTAGAATAGCTGGAGATAATTCTATCAGTTGTGATTTAGACAGGCACTTGCCTGAAAAGGGTGATGGGAGGACAAAGAAGGCTGACTTAGCATAGAGGCAAATCCTGTGTAGCAGGCATGAACTTTCAGGTTTTCTTTCTTTCTCTTTTTTCCTTTTTTCTTTTTTTTTCCTATAGGGAGTAGGAAAGTAAATATATACTCACTTGAGTCAGGTTTTAAGTAAACTTCTTTCAATCCTTATTCATTTGAACTACTTATGCTCAGAAGGAGGCTAAGTATGATGGTGGATTCAATGAAGAGAGAACATCATAACGTTATTTTATAATGCATATTTTCTTTCATAATTACAGTGAATATGGGAAATAAAAATGTTGAGCTAGGTCTTGTCAGATATAATCGTCATGCAGAGCAGTCTGTGTATGTACAGGGCTTGTAGTTTTTAAATTTGTGACTTCACTTCTGGTTTCTAGCTCTTATAGATTTTTTTTGTTGTTGTTGTTTAAAAAAATGCACTTGTGTAATGTAGAGGCTTGTGAAAAGTAACAGAATGACAATTCTGCAAGGCAAAAGCAGGTCAGTTCTGGACAGGAAGAACAACATGGGAAGTGCTCTTAGACTCCTCAGACCCTAAATCAACAGAAACTGCAAGGGAATTCACCCAGCCATTCCTGGCCTCCTTGTTGGGAATGGCATCATGAGGATCTGCGGATACCCCGTACTGCACTACCTGTGCTGCAGCCTGTGTATGTCACCAACTTGCTGCACTTCTTGCAAAAGATCCTTTTCTATGAAATGCAAGCTGAAAAGGAAATCAAGCATGTGCTGTAGAATTGCACTTGTCAAGCATTTGATTTGGCAAAAATGTTGAGAATATGCTGAGCCAAGAAATGTTCTTCAGCTTTCCATTTTATGAGGGAGAAGAGAAGAAACAAGTGGGGCTTGTTCATTCTGTTGTATTAGAGCATGAGGGACTGCGTATTTTTATTTTCAGATGGCTTTAACTTAACAGTAGACAAATAGGGGCTGAAATCGGGCATTAAGAACAGATAACTAAGATATAGTGCAGCTTCCAGTAGCATATTGCTGTGTGGAGTAAACTGATGCCTTTGTGATAGCTTGATCAGTCTTAAAGTGCAAGCTAGTGCAAGCGATGTTAGTTGTTTTTGTCTGAGCACATCCTAGAATGGGGCATACTGACCCATGGACAGAACAAAGGAGACATGATGGCAAAACAACAGCTGAGAAACTGCATGACAAGTCACTGTGTTGATACAATCCTAATAAACATCCTGTCTGGACAACTCATCAAGTTCTGACAATGGAAGTTTAGTTGAAATATCACTGCAATCAATTACATGTGATTTCATCAGTGTCATGCCAACTACAATTCTGAGATAGCTATGTCTGCTGTAGAAGGTATGGAATGAAAATTTCATTGAATGTGAGATGGATTTTTCATTGAGTTGCATTTCATTCATGATGGGTACCTGTGATACATATTATTACTTTAATTTGGAACTGACCTTTATACGGGTTTGTCTTACACACTTAACAGTGCTTAAGTTTATCCCTCTGAGTATTCAATTTAAACACACTCATAGTTTTCCCAGTGTTTTGCAGGGGAAATTATAGCACCTAAGTAGTGAACTCACAATAATGCTTTCAAGCTGTGTGAGAATTTAAAATATATTTATCTGGAAAGAGTATGAAGAAAGCACTCATTCTTTAGAAAGTAATAATTAAACTGCTTCCGCTCTATCTGGAGACACAGACTCATTACAGATAAAGATAAACAAGTGCAATATAGAAACCCCAAACATTTATTCTTTTTTTTAATGGACTTTTAAGTCAGTTTCTGTAGTTGTTGATGAATGCAATAAAATTAAATTAAAAGAAATGTCAAGAAGAAAACAAACTTAAAATTAACAAA